CATGTGCTCGGCTACCAGGACATGAAGTGAAGGACAATTCATGGTCCAGGTCATGATAGGCGCGCTCGGTATCGAAGCCTCCACGTTCGGCGGGCTGGCGTGGCTCCGATGCCGGGCAGGTGGTGCGGCCGGGTGGAGGCTTCTATGCCGGGCAGGTGGCGCGGCAAGGGGGTCGGAGCTCGTGGGCAACCCTATAGGAAACCCATAGGAAACCCATAGAAAGCCCTCTTCTTCTTTTCCTATGGACTTCCTATGAGTTTCCTATGGGTTTCCTATAGGTTTCCTATAGGTTCCTATAGGTTCCTATAAGGGCCTAAAAAACTCCAAGCTCCCAGGCCGGGCAGGTGGTGCGGCCGGGTGGAGGCTTCTATGCCAGGCAGGTGGCGCGGCAGGGCTTCAATGCCGGGCTCAATATTGAATCAACTTTGAATCATCTTGAGTCAACAATGGATCAATATTGACAGGTCCACCTCTCTCTTTAGAGGGGGTTTCCCAAATGGATTCTATTCTACCTGACAGGCTCCTAGCACTCGTCCGTCCAGGAAACGACCTCGTCCTGCGAAGGATTTGAAACCTAAAACGCTGCGTGGAGGCGTGTGGCTGCAAAATAATGACCCCTAGATATGCGCCTCAATTTGGCTCCAGGTTGCATTTCAAGCGAGGTCAAGCTTTGCCAAAGGAAACCCCTTTTCCCTTTTTTCGGGACCCCTTTTTTTGGGACCCCTTGTTTTTTTTTTGGTTCTTTTCTCAGCCCTGCAAAGGTTGGCTCGCTTGAAATGCAACCTGGAGCCAAATTGCAAGCATATCTAGGGTCATTATTTTGCAGCCACACGCCTCCACGCAGCGTTTTAGGTTTCGAATCCTTCGCAGGACGAGGTCGTTTCCTGGACGGACGAGTGCTAGGAGCCTGTCAGGTAGAATAGAATCCATTTGGGAAACCGAGAATCGGGTCCGAGGACGGTCCGGTTCGAGGCCTGGATGGAGAAGCTTGCTTTTCTGACCGACTGGTTTGGAATGACATTCCGCTTGCCATTTGTTGCCAGTACGGGTCCTCTCCACCCGAGGTGCTGCGCTTGGTCCTTTTGCGCAACTTGCACAGTTGGCAGGTACAGGCTGAGGACATCGGTGACCTCCCTCCTGCAGTGCTTCCAGAGTGTTTGACGAAGCATGACGGAGAGACTCCGGCTCTCTTGTGGGGCTATGCTAGTCGGGACATGGTGTTTCCGCAGTGGGTCTTGGGACCGTATCGTGGCATGCTGCGACTTTGGTCCATCAAATCCGGGAGAATTTTTTTTTAGAGGGCTGCCAAGGGCGAACATCCTCAGGGCCCTGGTCACATGAGCGCCATGTAGCCAACTGGCAAGGGTCGGCCATCCCAGGAAGGCCACGCATATCCGTGCGCATGAGCGTCTTCCCCTATGGACATAAAGCCTCGTCTCGTCTGGACCACAAGTGCCGCGTGGCAGGTGGCCCCTGCTGTGTGCGGACACTGGTTTCCACGCGAATAGCTGCTGGCCGCCTCAGCCACCTGCAGTGTGGAGGCGCCCCTAGCCTTGCAACGAGTGAGGAGATCCGGCAACGACTCCTCCACAGTCTTGCCAAGCTGGCCCACTGTAGTCCAAAGCAAGCCACAGCCGAGGGAGCTCCGATGCATGGGGAGACTGAAAGTTCCAGCAGATGAAACGAAAGCCAGTAACAGCCGCGAAACCTCTGCCGGCTTTAAGACCCAGCGCGACTTGATAGCGTGAACAAAATGGGCAGGTAAACTGACCGAGGGGCCCGATGACGGGCATCAGCAGGGCCCAGGCATCAGCAGGCCTTCCAGGCCTGCTTGTTCCGTAACATCATGCAACGCAAGCGTGTAAACCAGGGTGAAAAAAGGTGCGAAAGCCACCAGTCAAGGCAATTGCCAGGGATGCATCCAGCACGAATTTCGTCGGAGGCCCGTGGCCCGCTCCAACATTTTCCTTCTGCCACTTTTTGCCGCAGCCGACATAGGCACCACCTCCGAGATTGCGCCATACTGCTGGGCCTCGTCCACGACAACCAGTGCCTCAACACCGGGGAGTGGCCCGCATGAACCTTATCTTGCCGGAAGTTGACCGGAAGGGCATCCTGCAGAAAAGCCACAGCCCTCATTTTTGACCTTGGAGAAAGCCGCAAGGTACCCGACCACCAGTGAAACTGGCAGTCTTGCCTGCACCGAAAACACCCGACAGGAATACATCTGTGCGTCTTGAGCAGCAGCAAGAAGAGAGATCACCACCCCAAGAAAATGCCTATCGGGGCCGCCGCGGTTAAAATCGCCTGCCACAACGTACACTCACGTTCACACAGCGGCAGCTCACGGACCAACTTGTGCAGAGGAGCAATCAACGCCGGATGCGGAAGTTTTTCTCCCATCAGCCTGGGCGGGCCAGCACGCAGGGATGGCAGCCACCAACATTAATGGCTTCCACTCTCTTGGGGCACGCTGTGACCAGCACCCGAATGTTATGCAGGACCAGCCCGTTACTAACTTCTTTTAGAAGCTGGCAGGAACACCGGAAGCAGTGGACTTCCTCCCGCTCATCCTTACCAAATGACTGCCGCCACCACCAATTTTTCCGCCGCCTGGCCGACTGGGGTTTGCGTCCCACAATAGTGTCCGTAAGCAAAAACAAGAAGGACAGGAGCGGCATTCTGGGAGCACTTGAGCAACAGCACAGCATGGTGTCCGATTCAGACTGCATACTACCATAGAGAGGTGTGACAACCCATTCAGGAAATCGCCGGTGTCCAAGCCCATGGAAGAAGGCTAACTCCACGCAGTGCATCTTATGCGGGCCCTTACGTAGGATGCTGCAAAAAGGTCCCAAAGGGTGGAGCGCATTGTTGGCAGACTCGGTGTGGAGCCGCATGAACGGATGGTTGCCTTTTCTTGCCAAGATTGTTTGCTTTTGTTGGCCGACATTGATTTAGAGATGCTGTCAAAGTGGTTTTTGATTTCCCTCCAACCAACTTTTAGAGCAAAACTTGCGCCTTTGCCATTAAAGCAAACTCTCACGCTGCGCAGAATCAGGGAATCCGAAGGTTTGCGTTTGTTTCGATGGTGCCGCACGGATCGTTGAGCTCAACCACGCATCCCGTGGACTGCTTTTTTTGCTCCCTTCCATTCCTTGCCATTCGGCTGTCCTGTTGTCCATGGTCCCTCCGGCAGTGGCTTTCCAGTCCAATCTTAGGCTGCTTGATTGTTGAGTTTTGCATTGGCTTTGCATCGGCTGCATTCCTTCTCGTTTATTCCACGAACGCATGTCTGACTTGCCATGATAGCTTAGTCTCGCTGTCCGCTTTCTAGCCCGAAGTTCACCGCGATGATTTCGAAAGTTCATCGTTTTGCCAGGAAGTTCATCGGTCCGCGATGACTGTCGAGAAGTCTCGGCAATTCCTTCATCGGCTTGGTTTCCGAGTGGTCCCGAGTGGTTTCGCGGCTTTCCCGAGTGGTTCCGCGTCTTCCTGACAGTCGAAGGCCAGGAAGCACACGGTGCGGTGCTCCCTCAGCGCCGGGTCGTAGCTGTCCACGAGGTCGCCCTGCAAGCTCAGCACGCGCATTGGGGCGTTGCGCCACAAAAGAGAAGCCAGGTTTGCTGGCCTTCTTGGGGGGCTCAGGTGTCGTGTCTATCACTTTGCTGAAACCTTAGCTCGTGACTTGAACCTGGCCTACTTTTGCTGTTCGTTGGGAATGATTTTAATTGGACTTTTCTGCTTGAGAAATTCCATCAAGATCAATAGCTTCTTCAATACTGGGTTCCGGTTTTAACATGTGCTGAGACTTGCAGATATTCATCCTGTTTGATCAGCGCCGGTACTTTGTGTCGGTCCGGTTTGCTGCATGTACAGATTTTGGCATCAAGTGGTTCGCTTGCTTGACACTCACTGCATGGATGGCGTGTGAAAAAGTGCGACCTATGGTCGCTGCCTGTGTCTGGCCTACGTTTGCTGTTTGGGTTATGTCATCCGAATGGCTTCAATTTAGGAATTTGTTTGCTGCCTGCTGCTTCTCGAAACGTTCTGGCGTTTATTTGGTTTTCCTTCTTGTCGACCGGTGATTATGCTAAAGGCGACGTGGAAAGAAAAGGTCGGGTTTGCTGCATTTTTTTGGCATTGCGGCGACCATCGTGTTGTTGTTCTTACATGCCGTCAGCTTGTATTGCAAGCTGCTGGCATGGCTTTTGGATGGTTGGACTCGTTTTTGTTTGGCCTCTGGCCGGGCCCCAGCAACTTGGCTGGACAGTGGTGTTTTCACCACTTGTCAGCTTTGCACATGGCGGACCGACGGTTTTTGGCTTTACGGGCCTTGGGAATGTCACAAGGCCGTGCATGTTTACCCAAAGCGTGATGGATGCCTCATGGCCGAAAGGCTTGATTCCACGCACATATCTTGAGAGTGTAGCATCTTCGTACAGCGTCAAGCCAACGTCATGTTCGTGAAGACTTTTAAATGCGCGTGCTTTCATCGCGTTTCGCTACTGCCAACGTGTCGTATTTTGCCCTTTTGTTTTGTTGTCGAGCTTTTGTAGTTGGTTGCTGACTTGTTTGGTTGTTGTGGCTTAGGGAGTGGTAGGTTTCAGGATGGGGGGAACGAAACGGGATTGAGTTTTTGTTTGTTTTTCCCGGGCTTCCCTGTGTGGAGTTCTGCATTTTTTTCTGCCCCTTCTTCAGTTGGGTGGAAGTTTGGCGCGAACGCTGCGACGCTAGACGGTGCGATGTTTGGGCTCAGACAGCCAAGGGCATGACATCATTGACCACTGAGTGTTGCGTGCTGATTCCTTGATTTTTTTTGGGAGGCGGCATGGACTTCGATTGATCACGTTGCATACATCTTGAGAACGGCAGAAATTGGAACTAACGCCTCATATGCGACCTCAGCAAGAACACGTGCTAGAATTATTTGGTGGCTTCCTGAATCTTAATTGAAGCAAACCTATGTTGTGGCTATGCTTTCTGGTTTTCAGGGTTTCTCCCGAGTCCAGCAAGTTTCCTGTTCTTTTTAGACCGATGACGCGTTGCATGGCGTCGTTTGCGCGGCTTATACTAGTCACAGCTGCAGCTGCAAGCCGCTGTGATTTTCAAAGAGTTTCGGCGGCCGCTGGGCGAGAACCATGCAGTCGCAGGTACAAGGCTTGTTTTCAAGGTGTCCTTGGCTTTGGATTGCCAGCATTTGTGTTTTGGAGGTCAACAACGAACTCAGGTTTCAGATGCGATGTTTGTAGTACAAGGCGCCATTGTGGCGATACCCCAAATTCCAAAACAACACCTTGCGGTCCTTTGTTTGTGCTTGGAGCCGAGGACTCGTTGACCAAAGGCTTTGCCAAGATCCACAATGAGCCATTGCTCATCACGGACACTGCTTGGAGCCGCGCCAATGCTTCGCAGAAAGCTTTTCGCCAGATCTTTGGTCGACTCCCAGTGCAGTTGACGCGAAATCTGGAGTTTCAGTCCAGAGTAGGCTCCAAACCAGAAGCCATCAACAGCACATTCGGGGCCTGGGTCGATTCGCTGGCCCAGGGGGACGTGCCCTATCTTTTCGAGTTCTGTCACCACGCATTGTGCGAGGAGATGGAGTCTGCCTATGGGGTTCCAGAGTTGCTTCAGGAGTCCTCCATGCGAATGTATCTCAGCGCTGGCAAGGTGGCCAAGGGTGTGGCGTTTCATCAGCACCGTCAGACCTGGGGATTGTTGCTGGCGGGCAGAAAGGTGTGGTATGTCGCCCCACCTTTGCAGCTCTCAGTGCCCCCTTTTCGGCATAAGGAGGAGGCAGAGCTGGAGGGCATCTCTAGTCTGCAACGCTGTGAACAGGAGGAGGGGGAGGTGGTGTACCTGCCACGGGACTGGTGGCATGCCACTTTTAATAAGGCAGACTGGAACTTGGCCATTGGCGGCCAGGGGCAGATTGCTGGCAGTGCGTTCCAGGCCAACAGAGGTGAGTTGGATGCCAAAGCCGTCAAGAAGATGTCGAAGATGGAGTTTTGGCCAAGGGGACTGGGGCTCGGATATTTCCTTTTTGAAGTTGTTGGCTTATGCGTTTTCATGAGATGAGATCCAAGGAGCGTGACTCACTGCGACGCTCAGCGGTCGAGAATGGCCACGTTGATGCGCTGGAGCTGCTGATAGCGGCCAAGGCTTTGGTGTTCCCGTCACTCAAGGGTTGGACCGCCCTGCACGATGCTAGCAAGGCGGACGCAGCTGTGCTGCTTGGCCGGATGCACCCAAAGGTGACATCAACGCTTAAGCCGAGCATTGGGATGCACGCCTTATGTCATTGGACAGGATGATGTGGAATCAACTGGGGACGGATGGGGATCTCATAGCGCTTATAAGCCACCGACCCAAACTTACGGCCAATACATGTGTATTGCCCCAACGTCCCCCGACGGCCCGCCTAAATGTGTCAGAAAACATGCGCAGGGCCAGTGTTTTGAGAGGTTGAAGCTCACAGGTCCGGACCAAGTGTGTGGGGCCGAAGTCTGGGGTTGGGCCCCCAAATGCGCACCCTCTGCGGGAATCGTGTGTGCGGGATTTCCTTTTTTCCCCTCGTACACGCAAGCTAGTCTTTGTTTGCAGCCAGCCATGTACACTTTTCTGGCTGGAAAAACATGGAACCCTAAAATCCTAAAACCCTAAACCTAAACCCTAAAATCCAATAAACCTAAACCCTAAACCCTAAACCTAAAACCTAAACCCAAAACCTTAAACCTAAACCCTAAACCCTAAAATCCTAAAACCCTAAAGTCCTAAAACCCTAAACCTAAACCCTAAACCCTAAACCCTAAACCCTAAAATTCTAAACCTAAACCCTAAAATCCTAACACCCTAAACCTAAACCCTAAACCCTAAAATCCAATAACCCGAAACCCTAAAACTAAACCCTAAAACCTAAACCCTAAATTCCTAAAACCCTAAACCTAAACCCTTAAATCCTAAATCTAAACCCTGAAATCCTAAACCTAAACCCTAAAACCCTAAACCTCAACCAAAGTACAGCCAGCCAGCCACGGTGCTGCGCAACTCAAGGGACAACTGCGCTCATTGCATGCCTATCTAATGGGCGGCTCCCAACCTGAGCCGAGCCAAGGTCCTGGTCAAGGTCCTGTGGGGCGGAACGCATGTATTGGGGGCAAACTTAGTCTCGACTGGCTTTCCTGAGCCAAATGCGCTGAAGGGAGGGTTGCTCTACCCGTGCAAATGATGGTACCAGAGCATCGCTGCGCAAATCTTGTCACTTTGTCGGTGCAGAAGTGGAGCCCAGCATGAATCAAGTATTGGTTGAATAAATTGGGTTCTCTGCAAACAGCGTGCAAGAAGGCTTCTAGAAAGGACCCTGAGCTTGTGTTCTCCCTGGGGAAATCAGAAATGCAAGCCCGAACCATATCCTTTTGCCAGTGAAATTGGAGGCTCGGAAGGATGGGTTGGCAATTGCGGCCGTAGATCCTTCCTTGGAGATGCCTCCTCCAGGCTACGATGTTGTGACTGAGCTTAGGCTAGACCTGCTGCTGGATCAACGATTGGACCTCAACGCCGCAGAGACGGGAGGCGTCCATTCAGGGCAGCTCTATGTCCATTTTCCAAGCGCGCTGCAAGAGAAATGGAGGAATCAGTTGCAAGAACTGAATGGAGTTTCTCGTCGATGTGAAACTTGGGTGCCTGCATTGAGTTGAGTGGAATTGATGCTCCCGGGTTTGTTTCCGTGCGACGTGGGAAGTGCGGAACTGCAAAGGCAGGGATGGGAGGCACTCAAGCGACTTTTGCGTCGCGCTAGGCAAGACGGTGGCCCACAACAACCCAAGCAAGGAGGCTCTTGCCCCTTGGCAGTGTGAATACGTTTTTCGGCCAGGGCTTTCGTCCCTGCAGGTTTGGTACTTAGGGCCCGCTCCACAGAAACGGCTTCTCGCATTTCATTAATTAATAAATATGGTCTGAGTCTAAAGTCACCAAGGGAGGCATTCTACGCCTTCAGGGTAGCCACTTGATGACTTCACATGTTTGCAGCCTGGACTGGTAAATGTGTGTGTGTGTGTGCCGTTGTTTGTCTGTTTGTGTGTTTCATTTTGTTTTTTTTGGGGGGGGGTACACAAAGTAGGCGTTTAACAGAGGACTCCCAGAAGAAGGCGCCATGTTTTTTTCCCCCCATTTTTTTGGTTCTTTTAAGACTGGGCAGACGTTGCTTGCGAATGGCTGCAGGAGCTGTTGCTGCTGAACCGGGCTGACCTTTCTGTGGTAGATCAAGGCTGGGTTTGATTGTGCTCCAGAAGCGCAGGAAACATTGGGTGGGGCTCTTTGTTTGAATGGCATCCCTTTTCTTTGGGTGCTTGGAGAGGAAAACAAAGAAAAGAAAAGAGCAGCCGCAATTTTTGGTCCAGACAAACCCGCTTGTTCAGACTAGAAATGTGTTCTACTTCCTGAGCAACAGGAAGCAGGTCTCCCACCTGCATACCTTCCAGTGGGTTTTGAGGGGCACGGGTAATGAACCCTGCAATTGGATCAACTGTTCAGACTTGGTGAGTTTTTCCGCGTCCTTTTTTGTGTCAGGGGCCGTGACGGTGGCGCACGAGGCAGCTTTCCGGGGGCATGTCGGCAGCCTCCAGCTGCTGGCAAAGGCCCAAGACGCGGGTTGGGACGTTGGGCATGAGTCGACCTTGAAAGAGTCTACTTCGGCCAGAGTTGTCTGCTTGGAGTTCTCTGCTTTCAGGCTGGCATCTCCAGATCTGAGCCTTGCAGCAACTTGGCCGCAATGCTCCTATAGCGGCCCATGCATCAGGGCATCAGAGCATTTACTTGCAGAGCACAGTAGGCTTGGGCATATGTCAGTGAGCGAACAGCTCAGGTGAGCATGTCGCCGTCCGGGGGGGGGGGGGGAGTCTGCAAGGATCATCTGCTGCAAACTGCCATCAAACCTCGTGGGCTTTCCCTCGAGCATCCTTGGGAGGGCTGAGATGAAGGAGATCTATGTGAGGTCGCTTCATGTTGCTTCTTTCCGGTGTGTTGGGGTTTCGCCTTCTGGAAAGCTCGAAGAGACGGTGCACCTGGGTGAGAGGGCGCCACTTGGGTTTGCTCGAAAGCTGCCGTCACAAGGCAACGGGGCCACCCCCGCACACTTCGCGGCCGCGGAAGGGCATGCCGCGGTGCTGCGGGAGTTGCTGTCCAGCCGGGTGGCCACGCGGACGAAATGGCTATGGTTTTTAAAGGTTGGAACCCCCTCAAAAGTGGTCGGTGGAGATACATCCCCACGTAACTCATGTCCACCAACGGGTCCCTAATTGAAATTCATGCCCGCATGAAGTTCGCAAATTGGTGGTTCTCGTTTTGGTAGGGACGCCAGAAGGAAAGGGTGACCATTTCTTGGCACCAGTATTTTGAGAGTCCCGCTGAAAACCCGCTCAAAGCCGACCGTTTTGGCCTTCAAAGGAGATCCGGTATTTTGACTTGGGAAAAGAGTGCCAGGAAGAGTATTATTTGCTGTTCCACATCCCTTAGCTTGACAGAAACCAGTGACAGGCAAACCTACGACATGATATAAGTTCAGCTGCTTGTCATCTACTGCAGATCGATTCTTTTTGTGGCTCTTTGATTTTGTTGTGGGCATTGTGAATCTCTGGCGACTGGCAGCTCTCAGGGTTTGTTCAATGAGTTAAGGAGCTCAGTGGCATGTTTTGTAGAACATGGACCTCAGGTGCTTGTGTATTAAGCTTGGAATCTCACTGATTGCAGGGCTTAAGCATTCTCCAGATGTTTGTTCAGATGTTTGTTCAAACATTGCTGCGGGGCGAGAGGCATCTGGCCCTTCGTCAGGGGAAGTTTGCATGCGTTCCTCGGGATCTTCGGGCAAAACGCCCATTTGGAGGAAGCCAAAATTCAGGAGGAAAAGGATCCAATTAAAGTGGGCACAGAGGGGAACTCCACAGGATCTTTGCCATTGACACCCAAGTGTTGGCTTTTTCTCTAAGATCTGACCAGCTTTGGTTCCCACCTGAGTCCCTACCCGTCGGCCTGCTCGGCTTCGGCGGATCGGCTCCGCAGGATCTGACGAAGCCCGACTTTGCGGGGGGATCTTTGGCGCACCACGCGGCCTCGCAGGCGGCCTGGGCTCAATGAAGGGACGTCAGCCTTGTGTCTCGGGAGAATGGCTGACTTTTGAGGTTGATGCTTCCCAATGCTGATTGGCTTGTTGCATCTGGTTTGTTGCCCATCTTGGTTGTTGGTGTCTCAGAAAAAGTGGAGCGTTCGCAGAAAGCAAGACTCAGGCTTAGGGGGGATTCGCCGAGGTGGATTCAAATTCTGCTAGCGGTGTAACAAGAGGAGATCGCGAAGAAGCAGAACCAGTGCAGATACCATGCACGCACTGTTTGAAACACATCCTTGCAGAAGCCGGAGATGTTGTTTGTGATCTTTTTGATAGGCTGCGGTTGGTTCGTTTGTCGATTGTTGTGTTTGATTCGTGGCCTTTGGTCCACTCAGTCTTCAGTGGCAAGGTTTGAGTCAGACCTATCCGACCGAAGGTTTGGTTCTGAGCAACACAAACGCTTCAAGATTCAGCATGACACATGTGATGCTCAGTTGCCCAAAGCCGACCTTTTAACCTCTTGGTTTTCCAGTCTTGGCCCATTTTTAGTCATGGCCCCAAAAGGTTAACCTTCTATTTCTGGGTAAGGGTTCCGCGGGTCCAGGGCCACCTGCCGGCCCTTCGGCTGCTCCTGGACGAGGGGCTGCCGTCGGGCGCCGATCAGTTTGGCCGCACGCTGATGCATGAGGCTGGGAACTTGAGGGAGGAACGGAGGAGCTTGGGGGCACTGGCCATTTTGGGTTTCTTCGGTGTTTTTTGTTTTTGTGGGGCGCCGTGGTATGCTGGCTCAGTTTTTCTTGGACCTCATAATGTTTTTCAATGTTTTGCCGTGAAATTCCACCCAAAAAAAGATGCGGGGCAGCATTATTTTCCATTTCTCCGTTTCGATGGGTTCCCTCCTCACCGCAGTTTTTCTTACATTTTTTTTTCTGTTCGATGAATATCCCAAGTCCCACCAGGTGTTTCTCTCGTTCGGTTTCTATCACCGTCATAGATCCTTTTGACTCGCGTGCGCGATGGGCAATGACTGTTGTGGGTGTTGGGAATGAACCGGTTTTCGGGGATTCCCTTAAAGGAACCACCAGTTGGCTGGTTTCTCTCGTTCCACGTCTCATGTTCTTCGAAATCCCAGGCCGCCGCCTCGGGCGTGGGCCAAGTGCTCACGGAGCTGCGGGCCCGGGGCTTCGGCGCGGATGCGCGGGGGGCGCAGATGGCGGCAGAGGGCGGCCACGTGGCGGTGCTGCGCCCCGGTTTGGGAGAGGGAGAACGGGGGAGATGGGGGAGACGGGGACGGGGATGGGGCGGAAGAGTAGTTGGTGGGTGCAGAGAAGAATTGAGACACAGGGTTGTGCGCAGTGAGTGCCTTGTTTCTTGGATATGCTCATAGTGTGACAACCCAGGATCCCAGGATGATTGGACTGACCAAAAGCTTCTTCTGCATGCACTGGTGTTTGTGCTCGACTCAGGAAGCAGCTTGCAAGCTGGGGTGTGGACGTGAAGAGTGTGGATAGAGGCTCCGTGCACAGCTCTGAAGTGCTTGAGTTCCTGCACGGCTCCGAGCTTTGATTCGCACGGGAACAAAAGAAAGACTGGTGGAGAGCAGTGGATCGCTGACCATGTCGATCGCTCCCATCAATCTGCAACTTGCGTTTTTCCTTGCGAGCTGGTTTCACTTGAGCTGCATCCTAAATCCCACCTGACCGAGGGGGCGAGTTCGCGGTGCCTGCAGCCATTACTGGCTTCAAGTTTTGATAAACGTTTGGGTTGATAGCTTGTGCAAGTGCTGAAGGCTAGCGCTTGCACCCAAGTCCGAGCCCTGGGCTTCTCTTTTGTTTGGCTTTGAGCCGCGCTTCCTTTCCGAGTTTCAGCTGTAACATGGCCTCGACCAAAACCCATGCTTCCTCCCCAGGCGCCAGCAGAGGCGCTTCCGGTCGGACCAAGGTGCCATGGGCAAGTTCCGGCTACTTGACCTCGTGAAGCCCTGCATGTGCGTCTTGCCAGAGGTCAGCACGCCAGACCGAAGGACGGGTGGTGGGTGAAGTCCAAACACGCCAGCCAAGACTCCGCCGTCGAAAATGAGGCGGTCGCCATGATGCTCATTTATTGGTAGGTGGATTCCTCGGTGGGTTCTTTTCGCTGGCTCGGGTTTCTTTTCGCCGGATGTGGCTGACGGGCAAAAAAAAAAAGCTTCGGACAAGCGCTCTCTCGCAGGATCCCCTTCCGTGAGAAGATCTTGTGGACGGGCATCTCCCTGTTCGTGTTCCTGGTGTGCTGCCAGATACCGCCGTTTGGCCGCACATGCGCTGATCTAAGGAGCTTGGGACAAGTGGCAAAAACATGGAATGCGAAGAACCTCCGAAATGGAGAGACACTGTATGTGAATGATGGTTTTGCCCATTCGGTCGTCTCAATACAGTTTTGGATACTTTTAGAAGGATTCCAACATAAGTCCTGTATACCCCCTGGATGGGGTCGTTAGTTTTTGAGATTCACCTTTTGCTTGGGCTCTGCCGTTGGGTGCCGCAGGCTGTACGGGATCTCCGCGAACAAGTCCACTGAGTCTTGACAGCAAAGCCCTCCTATTATGAACCTTCAGATCATCTTGGTAGAAGCACTTGTCTAGCTTTGAGCACTGCTGACTTGTCACCGCTTTTGTGTCTCAAGGAGGGACAGGGTGCAACCGCCCACTTGTAGGGGTTGCCACGGGTTGCTTCAAGGTTTCATTGGTTAGGATTGTTTTGAATTTGAGAAGTTGGGGCCCGCGGCTCTGGACACCCTATCTTCAAGGGTGTGTTGAGGATCCTTTCTACTGGATGCGGGTCATCCTCGCTTCCAACCGCGGCACTTTGATGGAGCTGGGCATTTCTCCCATCGTGACCTCAGGCCGAAAGTTCACCCATCGCCCAAAGAAGCGGTTGAGCTTGCTGAGCGCGTCTCAACAGATATGGCCGTGGGTCAACACCAATGGTACCATTTCGGGGCATGTGCACCACCCATTTGAGTCCATTTTAGTGGGGATTGGGATGTTCACTGGGGGTACGGGTTTTGACCCATGGCCATATGTATCCAAACACAGCACTTGTCTCACGGCAGGCATGGTCATGCAGCTCCTGGCCGGATCCAAGCTTCTGGAAGTCGACCAGTCAGTGAAGGCCTCCTGCCAGCTTCTTTTTTTTTTTTTTGAGACTGTGACTTGGCAGCTCTATGAGGTCCACTGACAGTAGCCCGGGGAGTTTTTTCAACTTGACAGGAGGACAGGGCTCTCTTCCAGGGTGCGCAGAAGCTCTTTGGCATGGCCGTCCGGCAGCACCGCAGCACCCCCCCCCTTCTGCCCGGCAGCAAGCTTTGACACCAAGTCAGCGCCAGTTGAGGCTAGTGTCCATAGGGCTGGTGTTGCCATCTGGTTTTGCCATTTGACGGATTTAGACCTTCACACAGGATTGAGAGGAAGTGGCCAATGGACCATGGTCCTGACAAATAGACCAAGGGTAGGTTTGGCCAATGGACCACATTCAGAGCATTTGGCCAATGGAAGCCTTGGACCGTCCTCGAGGTCATCACTTTGGGTGAAGCCATGGCCTACGTGCTCAGTGGCATGTATGGGCCCGTCAAGGCACGGGAGAAGTGGGCTGTGGGTTCTAAGCAAAGAGAGGAATCCACGTGATTTGGTGATGTGGTGATTTCTCTCTGGTCTTTTGGGTCCCGTTAAAAACAACAAGCCAATAAGGGCTCTTCATTTGTGATTTTGCGGTGTGCCCGTGTGTTGGGGCTGATCTAGGCGGATGTCAGGTTTGGCCCACGCACCACACGCATATTTTTGCCGCCAGATGGCGTGCAGGATCTGGGAGCTGGCAATGCGATCCTCATCATCCTGCAGCTCTTTTGTGCGGGAGTGATTGTGGCTTGGCCCAGATGGTGCCATGCATTGTGGGCGTGGACCAATCTGCGCAGCGGCGCAGGATTTCTTATGGTTGCCCCACGGTTGTGTCACTTCTTTTCTTTTGAGCCAGGAATTCACGGGTTGTCGTGGGGTTTTTGCTCAAGACGAGATACTGAAAGTTCTGAGGTTTTGATCCTGGACGAGTTGCTTCAGAAGGGCTACGGCCTTGGATCAGGCCAGGGATGGAAGCAGAGACCCAGTATTTATGATGAACCGTCGAAACGTCACACTTATCTTTTGGGTGGCCACATCTTTTTGCCTATGTGCCTATTTGCCTATTTATCTATGTGCCTGTTTGCCTATTTGCATATTTACCTATGTGCCTGTTTGCCTATTTGCCTATTTGCCTATTTGCCTATTTGCCTATTTGCTCAAATTGGTTGCCAGCATTTTGACCCCAACAAGCACCGGAACCTGCAAGGGTCGAAATGGAATACCCTCTTTCAGGTTCCATCTTTCTTTGTGGCAAGTTTTTTGGAGACGGCAAGCAGGGATTGGAATCGACGAGCAACCCTCAAAGGGCACATCTTTTGCATTGGTGCCGAGTACCAGATGGCCGGATAAGTTGGACCATTGATTCATTTTGACTCATTTGCTGTCACACAGAACACTTCACCCTTCCTCTGCAAGATATCGCTTTTTGGGATGTTTGAAAGGAAGACCAAAAGGACACCCATTTGAATTTGGGGGGCCCACCGTTGAGACATTCTCACAAAGCAAAGGTTGTTTTGGTTTTGGGGCCTTGAGCCTGTGAGGATGCTGTTGCAGACGTGCTATGCTATCTATATCTATGACGTGCAGCAGCCTTCACAAGAAAATACCCTTGTGGACCTGAATCAGATACTGAACAAGAGCCAAATGCTCTGGGAACTGGGAACATGTTCGATCTCGGCTACACCTGTCAGGCATCTCGCTCTTCATTGCGACCAACATCTGTGACTCGGAATGCAGTCGTGTCTCCACCGCTGTCAAAGGGGCTGCTTTTGGCTGGCCGGCGCTGGTCGTAGCCGGTCGCAGCCGTTGGCTCATCTTCAGAAGCACAGTCACTTTTTTATTTGGGCGTCGTGCTAAAACCCATGCATTCGGTTTAGTACTCCGAATTTCCAGGCTTGCATGGCATGAGCTTCCCACTGTGTGCGCGGAAGAGACGCGGAAGAGACGCGGAAGGGCGGCGGAGATGCGGAAGGGCCAGTAACCGGAAAACCAGTGATAACTTGTGTGTAGATTACAATGGGCGCGGAATTGCGCGGAAGGCTTGCGGAAGGGCAAAGGAAGGGGGCAGTTTTCAGGGGAAGTAATTTTGCGCAACCCCCCTCTCACGCAGAGCACGTTTGCATCTTCCCCCCCTCTCTCTCTTCCCCCCAAATGAGTCACAATGGAAACCCATGTAAGTGAAGGTTAGTAAGGAACCGTCGCAACCAGAAGTAGGTGCGGCCACCTTCTTAATTCTCTACATGGCTCTGGGTTCATTTTGATACCAGGTTTTGATTGTGACTCAAATCCCGCCCTGGTGCCAAGCGGCAGCCGCCAAGTGCTTAGGTGAGACCATTTGCTGGAAGGCCTTCAGCCCGACCACCATGAACACAGGCCAGAGAAAGCTTCTTTGGGTGCGTCCAACCGTTTTGGTTACAAAACCCCAAACACTTCTGGGCTTCACGCGGAGACTTAGCATCGACCTTGGCTTGCGATCCTCCAGCTTTTCATTTGACCACAAAAAAAACAGCCAATCAGATTCAGGGTTGTGGGATCAAGTTGTTTTTCTCTTTTTTTTCTTTTCTCCACCACTTCTGTGATAGGGAATCTCCCCCTTTATGTGGGGGGTTAGTCTTTGATAAGCCCTTTCTGTTGTATCACAGAAGTGGTCATTCCCCACAACCCTGGCCAATCATGTTGACACTCCCGGAAGTTTGTTGCGGAAAATGGGACTCCGAGCGCGAAGTGTTCCGCCTCTCGAGCCTTCTCTTTCCTTGTGGAAAGAGAAAAGAGAAAAAGCCGTGCCTGTTGCTGCATCCTCGTGTTCGACGCCGGCAGGCAGAGGCCCTGAGTTTGAGGGCGCTGTGATCGCGCTCTTCCACCTGCTGATCTCCAGGATAACTTTTGAGATATGGTTCAAGTTGGCCTTGTGAGCGCTTAATTGGCAGTGGGTCAATAGGTATGCGGATCCCGGGCGGCTTAATTTAATTTTGACCCATAGCCAATCAGCGGATCCCGGGGCCCCCAAAAAACACGAGAGACATGCAAAGGTCTCCCCGACCTTGAAGCGGCAAGGAGCGACAAGTTCACGGCCCTGAAAGAGGCCTTCTACCGGCAGTCTGCGCCCAACATCACCTCGCTCTTTGCCACGGCCGCCTGGCCTGGTGGGTACCGGGTACTCCTTTCTTTTTTCTGTTTTTTCTTTTCTTTTACAGGGAAACCAAACCAAGGGAAAACCACCCACAAAGGCCTGTGGCTGTCGGTTTTTGGGAGACACTCGTGGTCACTTCGAGAAGACCTGGCAAAGTGAAGTGTTAGGTTGCACTCGGGTCTTGAATCGTGCGCGAGTATTTCTGTCCAAGGTTCTTGTGTTTTTCTTCGTCATTTACTTCCAAGGCTGGCACTGCATACATGTGAGCTGACTTGATAGTCGCCTTTTTTGGGGGAGGACGAAGATGGGGGGACAGCACAAAGTTCCCGCAAACACACCTCGGGCGACAGCTCAATTTTACATGTTGGTTTAAAGAAACTAGCAACGTTGTTTGTCCGAAGCTCATGTATGCGCGTGTCTTGAAACGGTGGACTCTGGTGGTTTTCCATCAGGTTTCCCTTCAAAGGATACCCTCAAAGAAGGACGTGCTCATGTTTGTTTGGCACTTCATTTGTCACGGCCCTGCGACTCTTTTGGCGCGCAGGTTTCCGTGTGGACTTGCCTGTCAAGAACCAGAGGGCTGGGATCTAAGCTCGCGTTTGCGAGCATGCGCATGGTTGGTGTGCAGCAGTGGTTCTGAAAAGGTTGACAACTGTGCAGGTTCGCGGTCAAACGGGCTCCTACCCGATCAAACTCTTCTACACCTCGAACATCCCCATCATTCTGCAGGCGGGGATCCGGTACAGGGCTCTGGGCTTCAGTTCGTTTGCGAGGTTGAAATCGTCGGTCTTTTGCCATCCACGTGGCAGGGCGGGTGCAAGTTCTTGAAGCGAGAGAGCACGTGTCCAAGACTTTTTCGAGTTTGTAATTTATAGCTACTTAGAACAGGGTTTCCTTAGGTGTTGCCGGCCAGGCCTTATGTAAGGAAAGCCCCAAGAAGTTTTTTCTATAGATGTACTGGGAAGTTCCGGACTCTGCGCAACGACGCAGACGGCGCTGGTCTCCAACCTCTACTTCTTCTCCCAGTGCCTTGGCTATGGTTCGAAAAGGATCCGGTGGGCATATGGTATGGTGTCTTAGGACGACAAATCCATCAACTGATCCAAACCGGTCAGGGCAAATCGATGGCCCAGTCCCCGAATGTTGCAGGCTAGACTTCTAGCAAAACAGGATGCTGAATATGTCGCGCGAATCGTGGCGCTTGCTTAAATGATTTTTGCACAAGGGCTGGCAACTTGGTGCCGCACAAAGCCGAACACGGGCGATGTAAGCCCCTGATGTTGCTCTCCTCACTGCTGCTATGCCCACAGGCCTCCTTTTTTTTTGGCCAGTACCTGGCATGGAAATGGCAGATTTGATGTCGATGCCGGCCGTTTGTAGCATGCTGCCAGTCAGAACGGCCTGCTGGCATTTTGGCGAACCTAAGCTTTGTGGTTCCCAGCCATCCACTTCACTTTTTTAGCTTCTTAGCGTTTGAATGGGGATGTCCATTTTTCCCACTAAAAGTTAAACTTTCAGCGGGGGATCTGCGGACAGCCCGGTAAAGCCTGTGACGATCTCTGACGCTTGCGTGGCTGAGGCTCCTCTACAAGCGCTTCAAGGCCCAACATCGGATCCACGAATGAGTCACAATCAAAACCCGGGTAGATGAAGGTTAGTAACCAGAGATAGCTGCGGATATCCGCCTTCTAAGTTCTTTACATGGTTCTGGGTAGACCATTTTAATACCGGGTTTTGATTTTGACTCAGATGGGTGTGTCTTTTCTTGAAAGTCCATGTTTTGGGTTCCCCCCATTTTAAGACAAGAAACGACCGCCGGGCTTTGCCGTACGATGGCAGGCGAACATGATCGTCAACATGATTGGACAGTGGCAGGACGAAGTGCGAACACCTGTGTGGGAGTCGCAAGCGCTCTGAAAACGACAGAGATGGCTTTGGTGCATTTTGCTTGGATGTTCGGACTTTAACTTTTTGCCAACTAATGGGTTTTCCATTAAACCACTAAAAGTTAAAAACTTTAGCAGGGGAGCAGCAAGCAACCGAGATGAGACATCCTCTTGCTGCTCAGGAGACGGAGATCTCTGGCCAGTCCATCCCTGTGGGCGGATTGGTGCCGCTGGGCTTCACGTGGAAAAGGAATTTTGTCTCGGAAGGGAAGACCGGTGGATTCAGACACCCGTGGTGATTCAGGGGGGTGTCACGTTCGCAGGGAATCCTTCGCCGGTGGAACACCTCCCTTCAATGGCTTCTGGCGTGGCGGTGGTTGTAGCCTCGCACAGTTTGTGGCAGCCTCTCTTTTTGGAGTGCTTTTTTTGAACTATCAGACTAGCTGTGAGATTAAACCTTCAACATGTCTTGAACCCACTGGATTGTGTCAGGGCTTCAGGATGTGCTTTGATGCTACAACTTGAGGTCTGCAATTGTGTGTATGTCATGTGCGGGCTGAGGTATTACATTTCTCCGCCGCACTCCTTCGGGGAAGTTTGGAATGATCCCATTCATGCCCTTTTCTATGCTTCTGGGCTGCAAAGAGGCGAAGAGACAGAAAAGCCAAGCAAATGACGCCGGTGGCCGGGTGCCGTTTGTGCGGTTCGAGAAATCCATCGGGTTCGAGAAATCCGGGCCTCGAGAAATCCGCGGTTTCGAGAGATCGCTGAGGTAGTCTTCATCCTAGTTTCCTGTGCTCTCTTCTCCAAGGCGCAGAGGGTTGGCGTTGATCTTCCGATCTCGTGGCATGGCCGGCCACGAGCAGAGCTCTCACCACTTTGGGGTTTTTGTGGTATTCATGTTGGCCGAGGGATCGAGATTTTGAGCCTCCGGGATTTCTTTAAGGACAGGGTTGATTCTGTGGTGGTTTTCCTAAGTTTGTTTTTGCTGAACACCCTCTCAGTAAATTCTCTCGGTAAATCAGCGGGTCTATTGATTAGGGCTCAACACTGGAAGATGTTGCATCAAGCCTTGAGGTTACCAAGTTGATTGAAGAAGCGGTCCAAGCTGCATTTGGGCTAACTCCATGAAGCCATTGAGTCTAACGCATTTTACGTGCTTGGAGGGCAATCAGTGGCCATTGGACATGCGTGCCTGCATATGTATATAAATATATACAAGTGATTTTTTGGGAGTGTACCTCTTTCGTGGGGTTTTCAAGGGAAACCAAGAGGACAACTACCTATTTGGGGGTCCTCTATTTTGAGACACACACACACACATATATATATATATATATGTTCCAGGTTCTAGGCCCCCCCTTCGCCCACCCATGGTCATACCCCTTCCCTTCTGTGGTTGCGTGGGGCTGGTTTGGGGTTGGTTTGGGGTTGAGGGTTGGTTGCTTCGGAGTTAGCTGAAGGGTGTTGGGGGGTTGGGGGCTTCGGGTGCTGGGACGGGAGGCTGGGCTAGGAGCCGGGAACCGATGGTTGCTTGCAGAATCCCTCATGGCAGACAATCAAGGGGTTGGGTTACAGGAAAATCTACCGGACATGGCCCCAAAACAGCCTAAACAAGCCGTTTTCCTATAGAATTTCCTGTAGCCCAACCCTTTCAGACAACCAAAGCTTGCTTGCTAGCGCAAATGGCAAAGGGGCTGAGTCTGGGCTGGGGCTGGGCTTTCAGAAGATGAGGACCCAAATAGGGGTTTGATCGCTTGAGGGCCGAGCCGAATCTTGGCCCAAACAACATGGCTGCCAACCCGTGGCTCAAGCCATTTTCTCCTTGCCTCCTCAGCTGTTTTGGTTTAAGGGGCCCTTCTTCGGGTTAAGGGGGGTCTGGGGGTCTCGGGGGGGGGGGGGGGGGTCTGGGAATTTCTGGGTCTGGGAGGGTGGTCTGGGGGTCTGGGGCTTCTTTGGGTTACAGTGGGTTAAGGGCTCCGGACACCCAAAGTTTCTGTTTTGGGTGGCCTTTGTTGGCTTAGAAGCCGCAAGCGAGCCTCTTGTTTCTCCAAGTTTTGCTTGGAGCCGTGACGCGGCCCCAGAGCGCCGTGTTTCCCACGGCCGGGAGGCCTGGATCGACGTCTCGGGCTCCTCGGCCCGGGACGTGGCGCGCCAGCTGCGGGAGCAGCAGCTGATGATGCCAGGCGCGAGGTTTGGCTCGACGCCGATCCCATTCCTTAGGTCGCCCCAGGGTTTGGCAACGCCGCAAATGGGTATGGGGTATGGGTCAAAATGACATCACCGCAAAACCCCAGGTTTTGTTTAATCCTGGGGTCCATTTACCAGGGTTCCGTTTTGGGGGTACCCATTTTTGACCCACGGCCTTGTGGGTTTGGACGAATCGACTCTTGTGGTGCATGGCCCGTTCTTAGTTGGTAGAATGACTTGTTTGGTGAGTTTTCGTGCTAGATAGCTACATGTGTGGAACAGCACGCAAGTGAACAGTTCCAACTGTTTGTGGGCCACGTTTTTTCAGGAAGTGAGTTGAAGGGCAAAAGGGAGGGAACACAAGACATTTAATGCTGAAGGCCCAGGTCTTTGGTGGTTCGTTTCTGGAAGTTATAACGTAGATTCCACCAAGTGTTGTACTTCTTTATGACGCTCTTTTCCCGTAGTTCGTGTTTCAAAGCAAACCGGACATCATCGTGCTCGTGGCATGCATTTCTGAAGCTTAGCAATTTCCGATCAGGGCCAACTTGACAGAAAGAATGCGCAGGCCAACGCAGAAGAGAAGCCAATACGCTGGGGACACTGCCGCCATATCCCCAAACAAGCTGGGCCGCAGTTGTTTGCCTTCGTGACAGCTTCCTGTGAGGCTACAGAGAGTCTGACCTGCCGAAGGCTCGCAGTTTCTGCAATGGAATGGGAGCATGAGCGGCCTTTTAGGCAGCGGCGTGCCGGTGATCTGCCCAAAAGGTTGCTTTTGGGTATGACATATACTCCGCCAGCATTACTTGACACAGATAGACATACTTGAAGCATCTAGGCAATGATAGCCAGTTGGCACTGAACAGTGCCTCCCTGAAGATACCAGCTTTCCGAGAGGGGCCAGTTCGACCAGCTTTCCAGTGGCGTTTAGTCACCCGCCCATTCGAGCTATACGATTCCAGCTCAGTTCGTGTAGGAATGTTCAGCAGAAACGGGCTCGCCTCCGAGGTTCGGTGCCAGGCTAGCATGTGGGCCAATGAGTTTCATCGGGATCGTTTTTGTTGAAGACTGGCAACCATCCTTGGCATGCCAGCGCTTCACTCATCGGGAAGTCAGCGGGAAGTCATTGTTTCTCCTGTCACTTGTCGACATTCCCAGACTTGGCTTGCATTCAGGTGCCTCTTTCAGGTTGGTAAGCTTCTGTGGCAAGGGCTGAACCAGCCCCTCTTTTTGGCTTTTTGACTCCTGACTGTCCTTTGCGAGGACTTCCCTTGGGTTTTGCGAGTTGCCAGGATTCCCGTTTCTTTCGGGGGGGCGACGACGTACGAGGCCTTGAACCGCTACATCCCCACGGCCGCGGCCTTCGGCGGCGCCTGCATCGGCGCCTTGACCATTGTGGCGGACTTCCTGGGGGCCATTGGCGCCTCGGTGTCGGGCTTGGGTTTGGGTCGGGTTGGGGGTGGGCTGAGGGTGGGGCGTTCGGTCGGGGGTGTCGGATTGGGGTGCTGGTTGGCTGTTTTGGATGGGCTGGTTGGATGTTTTTTCTTTTTTTGAGTCGTAGCCTGGTTGCCTGATTGGCCCGGGCTTTTCGGAGGTTGCATTTGTTTGTCACCTGCACGAACGCATGGGTCAGGTTGCCACTGGCATCCAGGCCACGATCCTGATAAGTCGACCTGGCGCAGTCAGCCAATGCTTCCTGCAAGCGTAGAAGACTCGGACGAGGCCGATACCTTGTCCATGTAAGTCAAAGCTGTCACGGTGGAACCATATATACATATATATATTCATATATATATATATATATATATCTGTTTTCATGTATATATATATACATATACATATGCATATACATATACATAGACATATACATATGCATATATACATATATATATATATATATGTATATATATATATATATATATATACATATATATATATATATATATACACATAGCGCGTACCACATGCCTGCCAGAAAGACTACTAGACATGCTGCACGAACTGACACGACGCATGGAACGGACGGGCCGTTGGATCTGTTGACCAAGGAAGCGGAACTGGGATCCTGCTGGCGCCAGCCTGAAAGACGGTCGGGGCAAGTCGCGGCATCGATGGGAGCCGAATGTGGGACACTTCACGAACATGTCCCCAACATGGGGACATGTTCGATCCAACAAGAACCATTCTCTGGGACACAGAAAATGGGTGCTTGTTGGACATGTGTTTTTCCGCGCCTCCCGGGAAGAAGTGCACCTGCCAGATGCGGAAAACGACCGGCCCACTTTGGAAAACAGCCTTAGGACGTAGTGAGCGTCCTGAGCTTGAGCACCAGAGCGGCACCGGAGCCATCGATTCCCGATTTCTGCAGAGCGGTTTGTTTTTTTTGGGGTGCATGAGAGGTGTGTTGAATCAGGGTATGGATTTGGACTAGCTTGATCAGTACTAGCTGTTGATCCAGCATGTTGTTCAATCTTGCTCACAACATTCGAACTGCGTACTTTTGTGCTTGCAACACTTAGGAAACATGTGCACTCGGACTGATGCTCTGCCTGTGAAAGGGCAGAGATGCCCAGGCAGTCACCATCATTTACGAGTATTTCGAGAAGATCTGCAAGGAACGGCCGTTTCTTGACGGGTGCAGAGTTGTAAAGAGAACTTGGGGCAAGGACAGGATTAGGAAAGGTTTGGGCGCTTGGCAGTGAGACGCTTTGTGACATTTTTCTGGGAAGGGGTTGGCTCTCGGCAATCCAAACTCATTCGAAAGAGACACCAATTTTAATTCGCCCGGTCCCAAAACCGCGCGAGTCGTCCTTTCGCCTTCTGGACCTGCAAATTGGGTTTTCCCAGAGCTTAGCCACGTTGCCGGCAGTCACTTGAGCCACAATCAAAACCTGGGTAGATGAAGGTTAGTAAGGGGCAGTCCCAGCCGGAAACAGTTGCAGCCGCCTTTCTAATTCTTTGCATGGTTCTGGGTTCACCATTTCTGTACCGATCGGTTTTGATTGCTACTCACTTGTTGCCCCCAGCCTTGTCCAGGAAGAAGGTTCAGGAGCATCCTTCTTGTTCTGAGGCGGGAGAGTGTCGCGGGGTGTTCTGGGCTCACTGCCGAGAAAATGTGCTCGGTCCGGAGCCGAAACAGGCATGTTTATATATATATATATATACATGTATTTGTTGAATATCAGCGAGATTGCACCAAACAACTGTTTGCCTTTCTCAAATGAAATGTGACCCAATCTTCAATAATCAATGAGCTCAATTGCCTTTAGCATCCAGGTTAGACGGTGTGGAACGCGTGCTCGCTGGCCCGTGCCCCAGGCTGTCTATTTGATGAGACTTGGTGCCAGTTTGGTGATTCTCTTTATTTGGTTGCAGGACATTCTGCAGGAAAACAGCTTATTTTACGGCGGTTTGGGGCTAGCTCCTGTAGATCTTCCTGTAAGGGAAACCCTTTGAACTTGGGGAGTCTTGGTTCTGAAAGGTTTTGCGGTTGCCGTATTTCATTTCATCTTGGCTGTTGGTGAGGTTTGCCCTCTGCAAACAGGTGACGGTGATGCCCAGGCAACCAACCTGAAGCCGCACTGCGGAGCTTGATGCTCCAGGAGACTGATCCAAAGCTAGAGGTTTCTTGGTGAGGTTCACAGGCGTTGGAATCTCCCAGCTCGAGTCACCTCTCTAACACACAGAGAGCACCGGCCGGTCACAGATCTTTCAAGTGACATGTGAGAGAGAGGCGAATAAGTGGTTTCGAGAAACACCATCCACAAGGTTGAAGTGCGACTGCGCTGTGCATTGTTTTCCCTCTACTGAGATCTTTTTTTCTTCTGTTCCACACTCGAGAAATCTGAGAGCAAAGAACCATCCCTCTCAACATACGTGGCCATTCATGCTGGCTGTGATGGAACCGGACCGCCTCAAAGCGGAGAGTGAAAAGCTGCACGGGCTTTGTGCCTTTGACTCCTGGCGATTGACGTCATTTTGCCGCCGAAAACGGCTGATCCACACATCACAAACACATCTCACATAGCTATTGGCGACCCCCCCAACCCCCCAAAACCCCCCCCAACCCGCCCAACCCCCCCGCTGACAGCTGACACGCCACTTCCCCTCGAGTGCATCCGCTTTCTGGCCGCCGCCGCCAGTTCAAAGGGGGCCATGCAAGCCTGGCCCGTGGGCGCGGTAGCAGGCCTCGGCGCCTTGGACACGGCCTACCTGACCTATGCCAAGCTCACCTCGGTGCCCTTGGCCTGTCCGGCCAGCGGCGGCTGCACCGAGGCGGGATCGAGGGACTCAGCGGGGCCGGGAGATTCAGCGGTGAAGGGCTGTTTCGGTCTCGGCCTGTCTTTGGGGTGGCGAGGGACACTCCTTTGAGTATCACCAAAAAATATCGCGGGGTGTGCATATTTTGTATCGCCGGCTAAGCAACATGTGGGCAGCTCAACTTCGGGAGCCTCGCGGTGGGTTCCAGGGGCGCCTGATGGCACAGCTCCTTTTGCCACAGCCACATGGTTGGAGCTGATTTTCTCGACTGTGGGGAGCCCATTTGGATGGGGCCCCTTGGCCATTGTTACACGAGGGATGACCCCTCTCGGTTTCATCAGGCTCTCCATTTTCGCAGCTCTCTGGGAGGGGGAAGGCATGCTCTTGCACCTCTTGGTGACGAAGAATAAGAAACCAGTCACTGGAAGTACAGGATCCCAAAACGTGTTGCTTGGTTTCCAAGCAACTTATTGCGACCCTGGTGTCTCTCTCTCTCTCTCTCTTGCATATAAATATGTATCGTCTTGGAGCCCGGACCGCGCCAGGTGCTGAACTCGAGCTTCTCCTCCGTGGGCCCGGTGCCTTTGTCGGCGCTGGGCCTCCTCGCCTATCTGGGGGTGGTGCTGCTGAGCGTGAAGGGGGACAAAGAGCTGCCCCTTGACCCTGGAGATAAAGAGAATTTGCTTTTATTGAAGTTATTATGTTTGTGTGCTAGCGAATCAAGATTCTACATCCTGTCTGTTTTTATCTGAGATTCAATGGTTTCTTCATAATGTTTTTACCTTAGATTTAATGGTTAGGTGATTTTAGAGAAGATAGATAATGAAAGACTCATCCAAAGGTAAATACAATAATATATAGAGAACATATACATAATTTATTAGTTAGTGAAGAAAATGGCTTGCAAGATAGAAGGTGGTTCAATTCAAGCGGTTTCCAAGAAGTACAGCAAGCTTCTTCAGAAAACTGAGACAATGACGTCGCAGGCTTTGTTTGGTCCTGATTTGGACTATGAATCGGCTGAGTTTGCTGATGCTTGGAATTGTGGTGTCGATGTTTTTGTCTTTTGCTGTGTGGTAGGCGGCTGGGGGACATTGGGGTAGGTGCACCACCCATTCTAGCCCATTTTAGTGGTTCACTGGGGGTACGGGTTCACTGGGAATATAGTGAAGGACATACACTTAGAAACGGTTTTGGAAATTTTCTTTTGGCGCCAGGTACTTTTTTCGTTTCTAAGTGCTGTCCCCAGCAGGTACCTTTCGTTTCTAAGTGTTGATCCGGACTGCTACAACCCAATTCAACACTTAGAAATGGTTTTCAACACTTAGAAACTGTTTTCAACACTTAGAAACGGTTTGCAGCACTAGCCCAACAGCTGTTTATGATCGTTCATATGTTTCACGCCTTGTTTGATGGCCCCACCTTGCTCACACCCGTGCTGACATGTATGGAGGATTGGTCATGTATACACACAAACAAGTCCAATTGGTCGACTCTTGGGGGGGGGGGGTTGGGGGAGGCGTTTCTAAGTGTTCACCCCCAGCTGATTTCAAGCTTCCGGCAACCCAAGAAAGCACCGATGCCCCGAGGAGGAAGGTCTATCTATATACATAGATATATATACATATATATATATATGTAAGTATGTGTTGTATGTAAGTAAATCATGCCTTGCTCGCAAACGCACTGACATATAGGAATTTTTGGTCATGCACATACACAGACAAGCCCCATTCGTAGAATCTGGGGCGGGGGGGGGAGGGTGGGGGGCGTTTCTAAGTGTTCACCCCCAGCTGATTTCAAGCTTCCGGCAACCCCAAGAAAACAGCGATCCCCCCATGACGAAGGTCTATATATATATATATAGATATGTGTGTGTTTGTGTAAGTAGATCATGCCTTGCTCACACACGTGCTGACATGTATGGAGGATTGGTCATGGCCCACCCCTACCACCCAAAATTGCACCCTTTTAGGGTTTAGGGTTCAACAACCCTTGTCTTCCCCCGAGCTCGGGGGAAAAAGAATTGATGGCTTGGCTGGCGTTGCAGCGAAAAAATCGCTTGCGCTAGCTTTCAAGCCAAGCCACCTGCGCGCCTTTTTTCGTCGAGGTTGGTGAGATCCCGGGAAGCGCCCCCGCCGAAAACACACAAACAAGTCCAGTTGGTAGACTCTGAAAAGGGGGGGGGTTGGGGGGGGGGCGTTTCTAAGTGTTCACCCCCAGCTGATTTCAAGCTTCCGGCAACCCCAAGAAAGCACCGATGCCCCCATGACGAAGGTATATATATATATACAAATAAATATGTGTGCGTTTGTGTAAGTAGATCATGCCTTGCTCACACAGTGCTGACATGTATGGAGCACTGGTCATGTGTACACACAAACAAGTCCAATTGGTAGACTCTGGGGGGGGGGGGTTGGGGGAGGCGTTTCTAAGTGTTCACCCTCAGCTGATTTCAAGCTTCCGGCAACCCCAAGCAAGAACCGAGGGCCCCAGGATGAAGGTCTATATATATATATGTATAAATGTGTGTGTGTGTGTTTGTGTAAGTAGATCATGCCTTGCTCACACACGTGCTGACATGTATGAAGTATTGGTCATGTATACACACAAACAAGTCCAATTGGTAGACTCTTGGGGGGGGGGGGCGGGGGGTTGGGGGAGGCGTTTCTAAGTGTTCACCCCCAGCTGATTTCAAGCTTCCGGCAACCCCAAGAAAGCACCGATGCTCCCAGGATGAAGGCCCATATATACACATATGTATAAACGTGTGCATGTGTGCGTTTGTGTAAGTAGATCATGCCTTGCTCACACACGTGCTGACATGTGTGGAGTATTGGTCATGTATACACACAAACAAGTCCAACTGGTAGTCTGGGGGGGGGGGTTGGGGGAGGCGTTTCTAAGTGTTCACCCCCAGCTGATTTCAAGCTTCCGGCAACCCCAAGCAAGAACCGAGGGCCCCAGGATGAAGGTCTATATATATATATATATATATATATGTGTATAAATGTGTGTGTGTGTTTGTGTAAGTAGATCATGCCTTGCTCACACACGTGCTGACATGTGTGGAGTATTGGTCATGTATACACAAACAAGTCCAATTGCTATACTCTGGGGGGGGGGGGGGTTGGGGGAGGCGTTTCTAGCCCAGCTGATGTCAAGGCTATTCCGGCTAACCCCAAGGAAGTGTGAC